CAGCCCTGGGCTGCATCACGCACAGCTCTGTAGGTCACAGGAGAAGTTTCTGTTTTATGGTGAGCTGTCGGAGGTGTCTGGCCTGGGAGCTGGTGCGATCTGATGCACTCTGTGGGAAGGTGGCTCTGGCAGCTGTGGAGAACGACTTGGCTGAGGCGCAGAGGCAGCAGTCGGGAGCAGGCAGTCGGGGTGCAGGAGGCAGCCCCGCCACAGTGATGCTGTAAAATCCAGCGTGCTTGGTCCACAGACTCCACTCTTTCCTTGGGAGGACGTGTTGTAACCCCACCTTTAGGACAAGGTGCATACCTCCTTCTTCAGGTGGACAGTGCAGAGGCTTTCTTGTGGGCCTGGGGCAGGGTCTCTGCAGAGGCTCAGCAGCAGAGGAAGCAGGGAGCCGAACAGGGCACGGGGTGGGGGTGGGAGCTGTCCTCTGAATGGAGTGATTGTAACAGCTCTGTATTTGTGATTCACTTAGGGACAAGCATTTGCTTATTGAGGTGAAGAACTGACCATTGGCTGAAATTCAGTAGAAACTTCTATTCCCATCCAGCCACAAGCTGCGTACATTGACGAGTTGAATTCAGGGCCTGAATGTGAGATTCTTTGACCTGTTTTTCTATTGGAGCAACTTCTCAAGCTTAGAATAGGATGCTTTACAGTGTGCTCTTTGTATTCAGGATTTGATTGCCTCCTAACGTGTTTTTTCTTGTTAATGTTGTCAACTCACAAGTGATTGGGTTAAAAACCACGTGTGCTTCAGTGCATTTGAGAGGAGTTTTAATGACAGTCTGGAAGCTTGCCTTAGACCTCTCCAGGGTACAGAAGCACTGATTGCTGAAGAGTTAACCTGCGAAGTGTGTGTGTGTGTTTGTGTGTGTGTACTCATGAGAGGGTACTTTAAAAAGACAGCAAAGAACACATATTTCCAGGCCACGATTGTGTGCAGTGGAAGTGTAGTGTGGCATTGAGCAGCAGTCCTGCACCCAGCTCTGCAGAGAGGACAGACCTGGGTAGATGGAGGCCCCCCCACCCCTGGGGCCGGGCCTTGGGCGCTGTGCTGGCCCAGTCTCCAGACGGGAGCGCCCCAGCAGTACAAGGGATGAAAGCCTTGCCTAGCCGACAGCAAGCACCCAGCAGCAGTGGCTGATGCTGGTGGCATTTGTGAACATCACAGTCGTGCTCACTGGTGGATCCATCAGCACCCCAGGGGGGGCAGGATCCACAGTAAACTGCCCCCCCGAGACTTGGGGTGGCCCAGGGCCCCAGTCTTTCCCTTGAGACCTGATTCTCTGGTTCTGTAGTGTGATTTCACTTCCTCTTGGGTTGCGGCTCTTGCACAACAGGGAACGTTCTACCTTCCCTGTCCTCTTTCCCTGCTGCCCCTCCTCTTACCTGCGGGGATGGAAGGAGTTGGCCTGGCAGCACCAGACTCACGACTCCTGCACTTTTTTTGCTCAGAGAGCTTCTGGTCACTGGTTGACCACATTCAGCTTAAATTAAATATATGAGAGGATCTTCCAAAAGTTCATGGAAAGATTTGTGTTATCTTTTGATTGTTTTTTGAAGAACTTTTGGAAGTACCCTTGCATAAAGTAATAATAGCTGAATGTACTGTATTAGCTATTTCTTTAATCC